AGAGAGAAGCTAAGTCAATATTTAGGAAGCTACATACAGAGATAACGTTGACTCACATCTAGCCATATCAATCTGACCAAAAGAAGGTTTTAAGATTCATCTCACGACAGAATCAGACTCGAGCAATACCATTAAAAGACTGGCCAAAATAATTATGTACTGACATGTAGGTTGGAATGAGCACAAACAACCAGCTTATTTTGAAAGAAGAACTTACATCAACTACAGAAAAAACATCAGCTTTTGGTAGGAGAGGTTACATACAGGAAAGTTACAACAGTAACCATACATCTGGTTATTTAGATAGATGGCACCATTTCTTGCAAAACAACTGTGATTTTCTATTAGGCAAAGGCAGCAATTATTTCTGAGGGCCTTCAGTTTTTGCGGATTCAGATGTGAATGTAACTGGGTTTGTTGGATGGTCCCTCACAATCAAGCTGAGAACTTCCGGCCTTGAATAATGGCCTACCACGTCAAAGTCAAATTTTGCCCGTGCTATTTCTCCAAGATCTGGAAAATAATGGCACATTTAAAAGGCAAACAAGAGGATGCTAAAAATTTCACAATGCTTTGAGGTCATCACAGCCAAAACAAGGTAAATAAAAAAGTTACAGTGATTGTCTGTAACTATATTCTCATTTGTGCAGCCAAAACCAAGACAACTTACACAAAAATGTCTATCTAGATTTGGCCTAACGCATGGAGAAGTCTGTAAGACACTATGTAATAAGTTGGTGAAAATTCCAAAAGAAAAAACATTTGAGTGGAAATCTCACATTAGAATAAACTGCATAAAGAAAAAATATACCTAAATCTGCAGAGATAAGTGCCTCTCCATCATAGTTGGGTCCAGCAAGAACAGTTCCAGATGGTGATATGATTACACTGCCTCCAGCACAAACAACAGAATCAGGTGTGAGATCCTCTTCCGTCCCAGCAAATACGTACTCTGGAGGAGGGGGATAATCTTTTCTTCGACAGAACTGATTGGCTGATAAAACAAAACATCCACCTTCAAGAGCAATGTTGGTCATTATTGCTAGCCAAGTCTCTCTGGAATCAGCTGTAGGTGCACAATATATTTCAATGCCTGTAACACAAGTCAGAAAATAAAGGTCTTGCTTAGTCCACAAGTAGAACCTTAAACTAGAAGAGCACAACAGTACAATACTGATTTTTGTTCATATTGTAATATAAAAGATACTATAAAATATCATTTAAATTGCATCGGAAGGTATATTGTCAACTAAAAAGAATTGATATCTTCTGTTTTCTTGCCTTGGAACAAGTATTGCATAAATTCAACAAAATGCAAAAAAAAACACAAGCTCAGTACACACAAAAGTGTAAAATAATAAACTTTAATGTTATTTCATTAAGAAATGGCGCAAAAAATTAGGAAAAAAAGACACTAAAAAGACAATAAATCAGCAAACTCAGGAAAAGCAAAGGATTATGCACTCTCTAGAAATAAATTGTTAGCAGAAAAAGTTCCTCAACTGCCATCAGTGCTTGCCTCTCCCCTTGGAAAGTTATGTTATCCTGAATGTAGCATGTCAAATAGAAAGATCCTACAGCCTACAGGCTTTTTTTTCGAAATAAAAAGTAAAAATATATAGAATAGCACCAAGAGGGTGCAACCTATGTACACAATTATTTACAAGGTAGTGATCATATCAATGACATTCCCAAATCATCCATCCTGTATATGTCATGACCTAGGATTAAGGACTCAAAAAGATGAAACCATGTATTCCTAACTTTTGTCCAATCACCCTCAATACCATCAAAAGCCCTAATCTAAACCAGACACAATAGCTGCAGCTCCCAAATCTAAAATACTAGCTGGAAGGAGCATCAACCAGATGAGACAGCATATGCATAACACCGAGAAGAAGTTGAAAACAAAAAGGCAAGAAATAAATGCCACATTCTTTACAACAAAAAGACAATATATTACTCTCGACATTCTTTACATATACAATGCCAAGTACCAAAAAAATATAATTTCTTTTATAAGATTATCTCTTTTTCATATATATACATATAAGAAGAAATTTTATTAGAAAGAGAGAGTTGTTACAAGATTAAGAGGATTAGGCATCCTCCAACTAAATTAGGAAAGTACAACGAGACAAAGCAAAAGCATTAGGACAATATAGCAACCAAATCCCTCCTCAAAGAGAGAAGGACAACCTCCCAGAAGAAGCCTTGAACCTTTGCCTAAAGAGAAGCAAACAAGATATTCATCCCAAATCACATAATTGAAACCATTGCTTAAAAATCCTTGCATCCCATGATCATAACCTAGCAAAAATAGCCTCCGTCAACCCTTTTTAAGATTTTCGGTTATCAGAATCTCCATGTGAGCATCTATGCATGAACAGAAAGCAACTACCAGAAGGTACAGAGTTTTCAGTATCTCCCTTAGGTGATGCTTAAAGGATGAAAAGGATGGCATTTGATTTCCAACCTTTCAAGTTTTTGACAACAAAAAGTGATGTTCCCTTCAGATATTGATTAAAGATAGCCAGGAATCATTAATTCCCAAATCCTGACATGTTTTCAAACATATTGAGTCTTAAATCAACCATTAGAGGTCGGAATCCTCACTTCCCACTTCCTTTTTGTTCTTGTACAAAAGAACAATTACTTTTTCAACTTAAAAGCAACAAATAACCTCTCTTCATTAAGTAATTGCAAAAAATAAATAAATAAATGAATAAGTAAAATGATCCTTTCTTTTGTCTTATTTTTCAAAAAAGTAAGCTCCCAAAATGGTCCATAAACCTTCTAAAAAGAAGAACAAACACTTGAACTTCAATTTTCAAGGGGCAATTTTTTAAAAAATAAATGGTATTTTTCAAGTATTCTAGTGGTCTTATATCAAAGTCTCAGATTTGGTATTCATTACTTTTAGTAAATTTGTTTATTTTTAAAGTACTTTATTATGTATCTAAATGTCGTTGGCAAAACATATACGTAAGTGAAATTGTTAGGGTTTATTGAAATTCCCAATAGAACTAACACTAGTATTTTTTATAATTATGAATCCCAGTTTTTAAGGTGAGCAAATTTATTCCTGAGTGGTACCAGGGAAGGAGATGCTTGGATAAGTGATGTCAGTAAGACATCTGCAAATAAGTGAAGTAATGGCCCCTTAAGAAAAAATTACCAGAAAGTTCTCAATAGAGTTCCATAGAAAGACTTCATGCCCAAGTTCCCATCCTACCTATACTCTAAACTTGAACACTCCCCGTCTTCCCACCAGTTCTATAATGTACACAGCAATAGAAAATCTTCCAACAATTTCACATTTCCAGTCAAGAGGCCTCTCCAAAAGACTGGTTTTCAAACAACATTCCCACCTATGTTCCTTATGTAATCTACCAACAAATGTTCCTTATTTGTACTAAAGTGGAAAATATTCACTTCAGTAAAGAATATCCACAGCAAAACTCAAGCAAAACCAAACTTTTTCTATCACCTAACTAGTGCAGGAGAATCAGCAAAAATGGCAGTAGAGTGTAAAATGATGTAGATTCACACCATATTGGGTCCTTGCACCATGTCCAAGCAACATAAAGGAAATTCATTTTTCTTTCCTTGAAAACCAAATGGATAAATATTAATAATACAAGTTAACATGTTTCACTAAACATCCAAATGAAATAGCATCTTCTTCTTTAGGAAAATCTAATGGTATCTCTAAACAAGGCATCAAAATGTAAATTATTAACGAAACTACAAGGCTTGTTCACTGCTTGCATGTTTTTCTATTATTCACAAGCACGAACTTGTAATCAATACATGCATTAGATCCGGACCATTAGGTTTTTCATGATTTTGGATATAGAGATGCCAAAAGTGCAGGATGACTATAGGAATAATCTCATCTTACTGTAGCTGCTCCACATGCTCCAAATGAAAAGGCATTCATGGTACGTCCTGTGGGCCCACCTATCACACCTAGCCTCATCTAGGTTGCATAGATTTGAAATGCTTGGACTGGTAAATCAGGGATTGCCAGCATAGGTTGAAAGTACTCCATTCTTAAAGGGAAATTTTTTTTTTTGAAGTACTTTTAAAGGGAAAAAAATTGCAACACCTTTTAATCTTTTGGTGTATCAGAATGGTTGGGAGCTTAGGTAATTGGATTTTGAGCATGGGAACTCCCAACGAAACAGCAAACTTATGCATTTCAGAAGATCTGATTTTGTTGTTAGAATGCTTTAATGAAGGAACCTCTATATAAGGAGCAAGCTCCTTCAATCTGAGACTTGAGGCAATGAAGTATCAATTCTCACATATGAGTGCTCATAGCCTCAGTAGAGTAATCCTTTGTGATCAGACCTTCAATTTATCAGCAAACTTTACAAAAGGCCATTACTATGTGAATGTAATGGTGTATGGATGACCATGAGTTTGCAAGACTCAGAATTAACTGCCATGCAGTTTTCCATTTAACTCATAATAGCGATGAAAATCATGAAAACGCACCAAGCCCAACATTGTTAACAAAGAAACGATAACAAACAAGGCCTGATAATAAATACTCAAGGCAAGTGTCCAACAAAAGATGCTACCACCTACATTTCCATGCCCTGTTTCTACGCCTAGAATATCTCCTTTTTCCTCCATCAAAAGAAATATGGGGTGACAATGATGAAATAAGACAGGTGTATTCCAACTAAACTAAAAAGAGCATAATACAAATAATTGAAGAGGCTGTAATGAAACAGCTTACTTGTTCCAATACATGCTATATTTAAACTTAACTATTAATGAGTCATAACTGACCTTTAGCATACATTGCAGTCCTTAGCAGTGGCATTTTATTTTCCCAACAAATGGCAGCACCTATTTTTCCAATTGGAGTCTCAAACACTGGAATTGTTGATCCATCCCCAAATCCCCAGATTATACGCTCCAATGCTGTTGGCATGAGTTTGCGGTGCTTCCCCAAGTAATGACCTTGAGAATCAAAGAAAAGGATAGTACAATACAGAGTATATCCATCTCTTTCTATAACACCCATCACTAAGTACACCTTGTACTTCCCAGCCATTGCTGCCAACCGGTCAACTTCAGGACCTGGAATCAACAGAAATTTGCAGATGTCAAATGAGACACGCCACAAAGCATCACTATGTCACTATAGATTAATCACATGCTCCACATTCAAAGTTGATATGATGGTGAATAAATCATTACACTTTGCACCCACTGTGGATGCATAAGAACAATAATGCTTCCCGAAAGCTAATTTGTTATAGTCCCTATTAATGGATCTTATTACGGGATGATTCACATAGAAAACTGTAGGAAGAGAAGAATGTTTTTGAATCCTTCTTCCATTTCCTGTCTTGAACTAGATTATTGACTCATTAAGAGAGAATTCAACAATCTCCTGCGTAAAAAAAGTACTCAACACTCTGAATTAATTTTTCCATACATAATCTGCCCAAGAATACAGCAATTCTTATTACAATGGAAGAGTAGTTATTTCCGGAAGTTATACCAAAATCCTTCCAATTACCTTCTTGTCTCTATCCCAAGACTTATTCTCCTTACAAGGAACTACTCAAACATAAGACACATTCCTCCTAATTACGATTACATAATCAATATAAATAAAACACACAAAAATCAAACACACGGTACTTTATTTCTTCTTTAAACGTGTCATCTTGGTGGTGTCATTCTTGCCACCACCTGCGTGCCACTAGCATAAATTAACTTCTTCCAAACTTTAAAACACTAATTTAATCCTATAGATTAAGATAAGCACAGGACATCCTCTATTATCGATAATTTCTAATCTTAAAAATTCTTACTTACTGCTCTAGAGTCAATAATCTATGAAACCCTTCTTCCGCAATAGGTTAATGCTAACCCAAGTAGAAACCTTTGTGTTTTGAGCAAGGAATTCACACATAAAAAGGGTCATAATTTTGAGGTAAACAAGTAAAACTCAACCCACCCAAACAGCAAATAAGAGAAAAGAAAATGAAAAAGCGAAGGTCCTTTACCGGGCACATCAATGGCGGAAGCGTGGTACTTGCGGAATTCCTCCTTGCCCTTAAGCGTTCTATTCCCAATCGCAACGCCAAAAGTTGAACCACGCGGATAGCCTCCAACGAAAGCCTCCGGGAACACTACAAGCTGGGACCCATACCCCGCTGCCTCCGCCAATAACCTCTCAGCCTTCTCTGCACACAAACAAACACAAGAAGAAGATGTGGCTTACCGTAACGAATGTAAAAAAGAAAAGGTAAAAAGGATAGTAGCAGAGAGAAATATTGAGGACCCAGAGTAGCAGGGGTGTCGTAGAAGACGGTGGAGGCTTGGACGACGGTGGCTCGAACTATAGGCGCGGAGGGGTCAGCGCCCATTTCAACCTCTGCGAGTATGGTTCCATCGTTGGCTGGGTTTGCTGGGACCAAAGCCATTTGATTTGGGGTTGACTTGAGCTGCTCTGGTTCTGTCGTAGCTGATGATGGTGATTGCATATGGAATCAGCACACAGCCAGCGAGTGAAGAGAGAGAGATCCGGAATTGAAGCTTTTCGGAGACCGTAAATTGTAGTATATCATGATTGGTGCGATGTAATATGGCTGAAAACTTAAATTATTAGTTTCATCGAAGCAGGAGCCATTGAAAAAGGTGGGTGGATATCTACCCATTTGAGTTTTGTTGGAGAGTAAAAAATTTTCTAACCATTTGGGAAGTAGAATTTTCGAATTGCGAGAATTATTTTTCAAGAAGCAGAAACAAAAAAATCGAAATCCCCATTCTTCATCTTTCCGAACTCATTAACTCAAATCTGCTAAACCCAATTTCAGAATTTAAATCCAAACACATTCCCCAAGTTCATTCCATTATTAAAAGTCCGATTGAAAAGATAAAAAAAGTAGCACATTCTTCCAGCGTACCAAATCACAAAAGGGCAGCACGTTTTGTAAGGCTAGCCCAGTCCACCATCAACAAACGCTAAAACGACACCGTTTAATCATCTCAAAGCTTCTTCGGTTCAGAGTAAAGGCGTGTCCGGTATGTGAAAAATAAATAAATTATTACACGTGTACTCACAGCAGCGCCTCGGATTTGTATAATGTGTGTGTGTGTACATATATATATATATTATATAATTATATATAATGTATTTAATTATAAAAATTTGACAATAATTAGAACAATCTTGTTCTCAGGATATTCTTGGGAATTGTTCTTTCATTTCCAAAAATGGCAGTTGTAGCAGAGTGGGCCCCGTCATTCTCGAACATCTTCTTCTTCCTCCTGTTGGTATATACTGTATATTTTATATATATGGTTGTAGCAGAGTGAATCAACTTCCGTGATGACGTTGGGAAAGCCAGTTGTAGGCCGTCAACAGCGCCATGGAGCTCGGCCTGCAGGGGGAGTAAAAATTTTAAATATATGCGCACGTAGCATCTGCTGTACTGTTAACGGCGAGAGATTTGAGGACGATGGGACCCACATAAAGATAAAGGTACCGACTTTCCGTCCCCCAAACTCACGCGGGGATGCCACGTGACAATCCTGTTCCGTACCGACGGTCTGACGTGTCTTTCACTCCGTCAGTCGCCCCCGACACATCACTTGCACACGCAAGACCCAGAACCCCTCTAAATTCCTTTCGGCTCCCCTGCAACTTTTCCATTCCCGATACTCAAAGCAACCCATACGGTTTCAGACTCAGATTCTCAAGCAACGAATTCCAATTCGATTTCCAATAGTCGAGCAGCCAGACGCGTAAAAAAAACAAAAACAGACCAGTAAAATCAAACCGAAATGACGACCGGAGGGGAGACGACTGGAGGTACTGGAATGTCGCGAGAGACGCAGATGTCAATTGCTGCTTCCTCGATGTTCCCGGGGTTCAGATTCTCGCCGACCGACACCGAGTTGATCTCTTACTACTTGAAGAAGAAGATCGAGGGTTTAGAGAACTGCGTCGGGGTGATTTCTGAGATCGAGATTTGTAAATACGAGCCCTGGGACTTACCTGGTTCGGAATTTCATTTCCTTTCTCTTCACCTCTTTTAATTTATCTTCTGCTTCTGCTTCTGTTTCTTTCTTTACTTCTTAAATTTAACTCTTTTTTAAAATTAATAGAAAAAGGAAAATCTGAGAGACGAACTTAATACCCGCCATAATTAAGTCTGAGTTAAACATTTAATGGTAAATACTTAAATTTTTGTAAATATCTTTGTTTTTTTTTGTTAGAAATTAGTTTTTGATCTTTTAAAATTGTTTCAGAACAGAATCACCGATTAACTGTTACAGGATGGTAACTTTTCTTCCTCAATCCTGATCCTCTCTCTTCTCTCCCTGTTTCACTGTTTCGTGAAAAGGATTTCACTTCATCAAATCTCCTTCTGCTCGACCACTTGTTTATCTGAAAACAAACCCACCTATACCCTATTTCACTATCGGAAAAACAAATACTCGTAGCTTGTCCTGGAGCTCGGTCGCGTTCGGGTTGCCATTGTCCGAATCCCCGTTGCTCTGTTTCTATGTTGCCCGAGGGAGAAGATGGGAACAGGGCAGGATCGGGGAGCAGTGAACAGAGCAATGACGCGACAGGGTTAGGTCCATGAGAGGAGGAGGGCAGAAGAGGATTCTGAACCCTCGATTTAAACAGTGAATTTTTATATATTAAACTACTAAAAAGTTAAGATTAATAGAACATAATCATTAAATGTATCATTCTCCTGCCAGAGCACGAACATATCTGAAAACCATTTTAAAATTTTAGTTTCACTCTCATCAGAAGTATTTTTGTTTCTGGTGATCTATTAGATTTCTGCTGTCTGATAATAATAGTAATAGTAAAAAAAAAAGAAAAAAGAAATCGAATTATCCTAAAAAATTAAGTTGATAAAAAATAGTATAGATAAACCCACTAAATCTTGTGCAAAGTTGATTTTTGAATGAAACAAAGTTGTGAGGAAAACCATAGATCCCAGCCTTCTTGATGGCTAACTTCATAATTTTACTTTAAGAATTTTAAATATGCAGAACACATGATTATATGCATTTTGATTGTCTTAGTAAAGTTGCTGTATATCTGGGTACGGCAACTGATGTGCTCATTTATTTAATCATGATCAGCAAAATCCATCATAAAGTCAGAGAGTGAGTGGTTTTTCTTTTGTACTCGTGGAAGAAAATACCCAAATGGATCACAAAGTAGGAGAGCAACTGAAATGGGATATTGGAAAGCCACTGGCAAGGAACGCAATGTAAAATCAGGTTCTAGTATTATTGGAACAAAGCGAACTCTGGTGTTCCATGTAGGCCGTGCCCCGAAAGGGGAAAGAACGGAATGGATTCTGCATGAGTACTGCATGAAAGGGAATTCCCAGGTGACATTTCTTCCTTGTCTTTCTGATTCTTTTTTCATTTCTGATAAGCTTTCGTTTGAATTGTTGCTCGTATGTCATCTTTAACGAGATTAAAGTTGGTTTAAGACGTCGGGTTGGAAGGTTTGCCGTGTAAGTTTTCACTTTGGCTGCTGTATTTCAGTTCCTTAGAGCTGCCTTATGCATGCCTTTGTACTTTGATGTGTAAAAGAGTCATTACTTGTTAGGACAATTTTGTACTTGGAAGGGCCTTTTTGGACCAGAATGATCCGTCTTCAATCGCTCTATACAAGACAGCCGAGAGGCAATCAAAACGATGATGATTATGCTGAGAAGATCAGTTACACTGCTATTTCTTATATGTGGTAGAGAGTTTTTACTAGAAGAAATTCTCTGATTTATGAGATGTGTGAATTGTTAAGGAATACGACATGGGATTAACTCGAAAGCTTTGGCCTGAACTGATCACTAGTATTAATTTGCCATTCTTTATTGCAAACTTGAAGGACTCTCCGGTTGTTTGCCGCCTTAGGAGGAATAGCGAATTCCGTCAAAATAGCAGCTCAAATCAGGCTTCGGCGAGTCTAACACAACTGTCACCTTTGCATCCCAGCAGCTATGCAATCTCGGAAGGCAACACCGACCAGACAGGGAACTCTGAAGGAGATAAGATACTTGAATGGTTTTCTAAGAAGTGTAGTAGCAGTTATGATTCTCATTCCACAGAGCAAATTGATTCAGCATCTGAATCTGAGCGCAAACATTTGAACGAGGTTACAGCATCTTGCAGCCACCCAAAAGTATGTTTGAGTATTTGTTGGTTTAAATTTCATGAATACACAATAACTAACCGTTGTATCTAAACTAAACCCAATTCCAGGAATCTGATGATGAAGATTGGTATGCTGAAATATTGAAAGATGATATAATAAAGCTAGATGAATCTTCACTACTTACTCCTGCTCCGCCGCCGGTGGTTGCCAGTAAGTACGAGCCTGAGAAGAAATATGAAGTGGCAGTAGGAGCAGTAGCTTCAACTGCAGTTGCTTATAGCAATGAGAACACCATGCTTAAATTCAGGAAGCCAGCGGAAGTGGTTTCGCATGCAGAGGCACCGGATGATGAGAAATCAAAATCAAAATCAAAATCAAAATCAACATCAAAACCTTCCATTTTAGATAAACCACCGTTCTGTTTAATCAGTATATTGTCAGGCGGGAGGGTAAAGCGACTGCAATTGTATGTTGTTTTCGTAGTTGTTTCTTTGCTGGCTTTGATTCTGATTCTTTCCTCTAGGAAGCTCGGGGCGGGTGCAGGCGACCATGTTCGCTTTCTGTAAACTACATACCATAGTTTTCTTTTCTTTCTTTTTCTGGGTCGGTTCTCCTGGTTGCCAATCGAACAAATCAAGAACCCTCATATACTGTTATAATATAGGTATAATCGGCTTGTTCAAACAGTTTATATGGGCATTAAGTTCTTGGAGAGTTCGACAGAGCTATGAACTTCAATCAGTGACAGGAATAGTAAGATTTTCTCTTTATTTATTTATTTATTTTTTGTTCTTGTAAATATATTTTCAGTTGTAATTACTTTCTGTGTTATATATATATATATATATATATATTTAAAATAAGCTATTTAATTAATTAATTTAAATTTTGAATATATTATTACCACACATCATAACAATTAGTTATAAAATTTGTTTTTTAAATATTTTTTTATGAACCATTTTAATTATTTAATTAATTACAAATTACAAATTAAATAAAATATATATATATATATATATATAATAAAAAGGACTTCAAAGCTTTATGTTTTAAGAGAAAAAAAGAAACAAAAGGAGAAGGTCAAACCAGACAGGCCCAGAAGTCAAGACGGTGATCGCCAGCTAGCCAAACCAAGAGCTGAGCTCTGTACCAAAAGCCAAAATCATCGAGTACTGCTTACGAGAGAATCCGCGAATCTTTTTCATCTAATCGGGGAAACATTTAAAACCATGTCTTAACTCTTAATCAATCATGAAGCTGGGGTTTTCGCGTCACTTCAATTTGTAAGTAGCACAGCCCTTTTTCTTCCTTACTTTTTGAATTTGGACCAGATTGTTCCTGGAGCTCGGATTTCGGCTTTTTTAGGGATTGTTATGTTAGGTCTCTGTTTTTGTCGTCGAGAAAACGGTAGAAACGAGATGAATCCGATTGTTTGAAGGTTTTCGCCGCGTTCCCACCGCTCGTAGGGTATTTGGAAAACCGGACCTAGTTTAGCTGAGGTGACGAGAATTTGTTTGCGTGTTCACACAAATTTTTCTTACTTGGAAACTAAACAGGTTATCTCGTTGATTTGGTTTTTGAATTTAAGAACTTCCTAATCTTTGATCGTTAGTTGTTAGGTGGGTTTTTACCTGCTTTTTGTTTCCTGTGCTTCATGGTTCTTTCTCTGTGATGGACTGAAATGCTCTTCTGGACTGAACCATTTATAAAGATCAACATGTCCCAAAATTTTGCTACATCGAGTTTGGTTCGCATTCCAAATTTATGAGAATACAGTACTAGAAATTCGAACAAGATATCAATGAATATGATGCATTTCTTGACAGTTAGGAACACAAAATCCATTTTTGTGTGATTGAAGATATCAATAAAGCTGATTTATTACGTATCCGAAGTGTAATTATGATTTATTGTGGCATATTAAATAACTAAGAATTGAAAAAGAACAGAATATGGTTCCGTGAAACACAACATAAGTTCTTTTCATGTAAGCTTTGGATTTTGCTTAGTTACTTGGTCTAATGGTTGAATATTTAAACAGAGAATATAATGAGTCTCTTTCCATCTTTGAGATGTGTGTTTATGCTTGGGGTGAGATATCTCAAATGATTGTAAAATGTTCCATGACAGTCTGATTTGGAGATAGGATGATTAGAAGTTCAAAGTTAGCACTATATTTGGAGCAAATGAACTTACAGAAAAGTGTTGTTCATTTACAAAACTACATTTTTATTTTGAGGCTATAAGTTAATTCCTGGCTTTTTTATTTTTGCTTTTGATTCTTGAGCAGAGATTTCAAGAACTGTCATAAGGATGTCAAGGCCTATGTTACTTGTATTTCTGTTGATTATACTGATAATTACCTCTCAATTTGAATGGAGACAACCGCTTGTTGCTGACGTTGATATGACACCAGCAGTGTCCCAAAAACAACAGAAAATTTTGAAGAGGGAAGAAGCCGTAAAAGAGAAGGTAATAGTTCCTTCTAATTTTGAAGTTATTTTCTTCATCCTTAACTTGGTTTATCTCCTGTATTTTCTGATATTGATTCCCTGTATTTGGAGTATTGTTGCATTTGGTTAGGCACATCTTATCATAGAAATGAAAACTTTTTTGTGGCTATGTCAAAGGTGTTTCCTGGTCGGACTTTGTTCTCTCTCTCTCTCTCTTCCTATCCCAAATTATTATGGAATTTGGTGACCTTGTTGAATTTTTAGGTTGCATCCCGTAATAAAACGGATATTGGTAGGTTGTATCGTTATGCGTTTTCCTTTTCTATATATGACATATCTTGGGTTTTATGTCTTGAGAAGAAGAACATGTGACATAGACAAAAGCACTGTCCATATATAAAAGAGTGGGAAATTTACAAGTAAAACAAAATGTTAATAACTTCCTGAAGAACCTCCTTAAAATAGAGAGGATGTCCCTTAAACAAAAAAAAAAAAAAAACAAAGATGTTGGAAATAGGTATCTCTTGTTTTTGGAGAAAGAACTAGAAGCCTTGAATGTTCTTATATTCTTTTCCCTCCAGATAAACCACAAAATAGCAGAGGAAATCAGTGAAATGAAGCCATTTATAAACTTCTTGGTCTTCATGCCCTGCCAACCTAATAACTCTGCTATTATTCAACTGATTAGAGGGTTCACCAGACCTGGATGAAACTTTTTTTTTCTTTTCACAAAGAATATGTAGATCAGTTCCAGCATGGCGTCTAATTTTGGTTAAGAGGTTTGTAAGACCCAACTTGTAGATTAGAATTCATTCTGTATCATTTTAATTAGTAAACATAATGCAGTGAGGCAGCTAATATGCCTCTGATTCCTAATAGTTCATTTCATGGTTGTAGCTATAGATACAGGATTTGCATTGAGCTCCCACATTGTAATAAAGAGGTCTGTCAAAATTATGGCTTAAACTCCTAACCAGAAGGCTTATCATATTTCTAAAATTTGACTTTTAATGATGCAATTTGCCCATTCCCTTGACATAGGCAGGGCTACCTACTCAAGCTTGGATTCATATGGTGCTTCATTGCCTGTCTCCATAACTTTTTTGGTTGAAGCCAAAGTTTCCTTTTTTCTTTTTGAAAAATGAATCCAAAGTTTCCTCATCCAGAGTTAAAAAAAAATTGAAATTCATGAGTCTAGAGTACATGAAAAGAAAATTTTAATAAAATAGTATAGAAAGAAGTGTACCACCTAAGGTTTGGATGTCTTACACGTGCTTGGATGGTTATTTGGCATTTAATAAGCTGAAAGTATTTGCTAGTGCAACATCTGCATTCATACAAATTACTAGATTATGGTCTATGAGACTTATGCCTCCAAACTTTTGTTTCATTGGGATGTACATGCATCTGTGCTGTTAATATCAGTAACATATGGTATTCATTGGTCATGATATGAGTACTTAATGGATTTTTGATCTTTGGTCTGCTTAGTTGCCCGTTTATGATTGTGATTAACCTTTTACGTTGCATGTCTTCTGCAAATTTATTTTGTTGACTTTCTTCAAAGAAAATATTGATCTTTTGTGATGTTTAGTGATCTGTTCTTTTCACAATATGCTTCTTTGTCTCTGTTGCTATAAAATTGTAACCTAGAAAGTCCTGGATAATATAAGAATTCATGGGTAGTTTAAATCTCTAAAGAAATCCTGTCAATTATTGTAGATCATCTTGTTGCAAGAGAGACATATTCAGAGGCTTACAGAGCTCGTGCAGAGTCTCCAACGGCAGTTATCGCTATGCAGGGGCAATAATAAGATGGTAAATGAGACTATAACTCATTTAGCCCATGATATTATTGAGCTTGAGAGACAGCAGGTTGTGGATGACTAGGCTATATACTTAATTAGCATCTGATCATGAAAGAAAAATGTACTTTTGGCCATTGTCACCAAAATGTGCAGGTTGCCAAAACCAATAAACATGTGACATATATACTTTGTCCATAGGTTAGAGACTTTTGTTTTACAAAGCAGCATTTTCTGTTTATTTTTCTGGCAGGTTCTCCATGTAAAGTTTGCATCTCGTTCGAATAGTAGTCAGGAGTAAGAAGTATGGTAATGTTGGTTGCAATGGGATAAAATCGACTGAAAGCAAGCAGTGGAATTAAGAAATAAATGGCGCAGAACACAACGGTCGGATAGAAACTAAAAATAGGGAGGAAGAAATTTTAGCAAAGGTAGGCTAAAAGGGAGAGGGGAAAGAGTGGGAAAGAAAGAAAATGAGTATAGTAGGCTGGAAGAATTAGAGTAGCAGAAATTTGAGGAAATATTCTTTTGAATCCTGTTCGGAACAACATCAACCGTCTTATAATAGCTAAAAGAATTGTTAGTATTATTTTGATCGAATTAGACTTGAGAACGGCTCACAATGTTTTGCAAAATGGCACGACGTGGCGACTCTTTTGCACTTTGTGCGAGTCTTTCTGTAACCATTTTCGGAGTCAGAAAACCCGAAACAGACTATAAAACTTTGCCCTTGTTGTTGGGAAGAGGTAAGTATCTGGGTTTCATCATGTTATATATGCATACCAGAAAGCAAGATGGTGGTGTAACTCTAATATGGAGGTCGAAATGGTTTAGTTAGTAATAGTAAAACAATGATTAACTACCACTCCTAATTTTTTTACCTTCTAATTTACCTGCCAACTATAGATATACTTGATATTGAGTTATAGTTATGATATATTCATTAAGCCAACTACTGAGATTCAAAAAAAAAACCCATTTCAAATTAGAACAAATTTTATACAATAATTGAATAATCTATTCAAAACTCTAAATGAATAAGAACACAAATTATACCTTATAAAATAAAACCCTTTGAAAGATATTTTTTGGCTTCATTATTATAATTAATCTTAAAAATTATCAAACCATCATCAAATTCGAATCCTATCGTATATGTATGTATATATACATACGTATATACTATTTAATTGATTTTCCTCTACAATTTAATTAATGCATCTCGGCATTCAAAGTCATATTTCATTAACGCTACCCACTAATAGTTTCTTCAACTTCAATTTAATTTTTTGAACCAATTTTTTTCTCTCTCCTTCCCTAATTTCTGCTTACCCACGATCAATTAACTATTAAACAATAAAACCCATCTCTCCTTTCTCCCTCTCATCCTCTCCCTATATATATATATATATAACACTCATACGTATGTATATACGTATATTCATCACCGTCGATCGTCACCTTCTTCACCCCCCTCGTCTCATTCCTGGTTTGTTTCTAGCTCGATCACCCTCTTCTTCAATTTTGGTTTATACGGGTTCGTCTAAATCTTCTCATTGAACTTTAATTCCCTTTTGTTTCGTTGCCCGTGTCTGAGTATGTTTATGCGTATGTATACGTGTGTGTGTGTGTGTATACTCATTTTTGTGTGCGTGTGTGTGTAGGAAGAAAATGAGTGGAAGATCATCTAAATCACGCTGCAGTCGGCCAGAGCTGGAGTTGAAGCTGAACTTATCACCGCCAAGGCCGGCGGAGACTAATAGTAATTACAAGCCAGTTGTGAAGGAGGAGGAGTGGCCGGAGATATCGTCGGAGGAGGGATCTTGTCTCGTACCGGAGACGGGGGAAGAGAGCTGTTACTCGTGCAGCCCGGAAACGACGTCGTCGTCGTTGGTGTTGGTGGGATGCGTGCGATGTATGATGTACGCGATGATTAATACGACGTCGGATGAGGTCGAACCCAAGTGTCCCAAATGCAAGAGCACCGTCTTGCTTCGTTTCCTCAATCAATCATAAACTTATATCGTCATCTTCTTCATTCGTTTCTGTTAATTTACTTTCTATTTTTCAATGTTTGAATCCATATACGTATGTATGTATGTATGTATGTATGTATAGGATTCTTTGTTATTTAAGTAATTCTTCTTTGTTATAAATACATGTTAATATACACGTACGCGTATGTAGTCAGAGGAAAGTGTACTGTAGCGGTGGTACATTGAATAGATACATTTTACGTGATATGTATGTATGTATGTATGTATAAATATATGGTTATGATCAAAATCAATGCATTCAAACGGTAGTTGAACCAACTTTTTCAACTGATTTACATTATGAAGCTCACGTGAGCATATGAAACATCTCCCTTAATCAATTACGTCCTACATACATTACATATAACCTTTTATATATATACACACGTGTGTGTGTGTGTATACACATTTATATACGTATACACACACATATAACACCTAACAAAAAACATGAACTTCCATAAATTTTACGCTTCATTAATAAGGTTTTATTAAAATAAATTTATTAAAATTTAATTCAATTTCATTATTATAATCTCCATTATATTTTTTAAAATATTAAATTAATTTTAAAAAAGAAGAAAATTTATTTTAAAAAAATCAAAATTGGATTTTATAATAAAGTTTGGTAAAGTTGGTTGAGAAATTAATGTAGGCGCGATAAATATAAATATTAAAATTTAATTCAATTTAATTATTACAATCTTGTTAATATATTAACGAGTTGTATGAGTTATATTTTTTAAAATATTAAATAAATTATAAAAAAAAAAAAAATTTATTTTAATAAAATCTGAAAGTTGGGTTTTATAATAAAGTTGGTTGAGGAATTAATGTAGGCGTGACAAATATAAATATTAAAAATTTAAGGCAAGTGTTAAAAAAAGAATGTTACCATTGAATAAATCCGATTTGGGCACTATACAAATTTGGTACAATTAAATTTTAATTAACACAACATTAATTAATTAATTATTTTTTAAAATTTTTATTTTTAAAAATGACAACCTCAGAAAACCTCCAGTCCGTACAAAACGCCGGCGTGCTTTTCCGGCGCGTCATTTGCGAAGTACACGTCCCTCATCTTCTGAAACGCATGCCACGTCAGTAAGCTATCTGAACCGGCCTGATGGCACTTCCCAACCGCCCGGTTCACCTCCAACGTCCGTGCTACCCGGTCCAACCCGCCGAACAAGCTCTGGCAGAACCGCATCATGTGCTTCACGTCGTAAACGCGCTCCCCGAAGAACACCCTCGTCAGCGTCAGGAACTCCTCCAGACCGGCGGGCAGATCCCGGCGCGTAAGGATCTTTACCAAATACCCAAAATCGTACGCGCTGTGGAACGTCACCCAACTCACTGAGTCATTGCACACCAACCCCGACGACATCATCAACTCGGCGAACCGGGCGGAGTCCACACCCTCCTTCCGGTTCCGCTCAAAGTCGATCCCCTGTGCCCGGAGCAACTCGATCGAGTCCGGAGCGTGGGCGTCACGCGAGACGTCGAAATCGGAGAAATTGAACTCCCAGATGAACCGATTTTGCGATCCCAGATCGGGGAGGCTTCCGTCGGAGTCGGAGAGGGTGAGACCGACCTGGATGAGGTTCAAGGCATCAACGTTGGTTTTCAAGATCTTGTAATGATCGGCGGGTCGGCGGTTGTGGAAACGGGTGTCGGGTCGGGGACGAAAGACGAGACCGGGGAATTCGGTGTCCATGGAAATAAAAGGGTAGTCGTCGATGACCTCCCTTATGAGCTGAAACTCAGATTCCAAATTATGAGACCAGACCTCCCGGACGACTATGGGTTTGGAATCACGGCTCGACTTGTCCAGCTCCATGAGTAGTGCAGACGGAGAGTCAGACAACAACGAGAACCCAGATGAAGACGATGAAGAAGAAGAAGAAGAAGATGGTGGGTGAATAACGAGAGGAGACAAGAGGAGGATTATAAGGAGGGTTTGTTCGTGGTGGCGTGAGGAGTTGCCTGGAAACAGGGGAAAAGAATTGATAGAGAGAGAGAGAGAGAGAGGTGGGTTCAGTGTAAGGAGTAAAGGAGGTTTAAATGTGAAACGTGTGAGAAAGAGAGTTTGACTGAAGCAGGCAGTAACGCAATTCCTGACTTGACTGGGTCTACTGTGGCGCTTTCCTAATTTCTTATTTATTGTCTTCTGACTTTCCTTCTTTTAAGCAAGAGAAACGCACATGGCTGATGATTGAACTCTGGAAACAGTGGGCAGAGGGAGACCGGAAGGTTCCCTGCGCGTCAACCTCGCGTCACATGTTGAGTGTGATACGCCATATTTTTTTCTTTCAAAAAATATCACTCAAAAAAGACTAAAATGAACTCCATTGAGAGGGGCATCGGAAGTAAATTCCGCAGGTAAAACGGCGTCGTTTCGAGGATGATGATGAGTATGGTTTCTGGCTTCAAGTAAAAAGGGTGATGGAAATTTCATTTCGATCTCAAAATTTCCCCCAAAAGATTTTTTTTTTTTTTTTTTTTTTTTTTTTTTTTCCTCCTGTTAAAATTTAAAGCAGAAACATGGTGGAGTGGATAGACAAGTGTTGGTACTTGGCTGACAGCAATGGCGTCGACAGCCCTGCTAATTTCTCCTCCCTCCTCTGCTTCTTTATCGAGCACCAGAAACTCTTTCCACTTCTTCTACTCTGCTTCGATTCAACCTTCCAAATCCAAATTTAAAAGCTTCAAAATCAGAGCCGTTAAAGAGGAAACAGAAGAAATTAAGAACCAGTCTTCTGCTTCAGCTGAGGAAGTTACAAAGAAGTATGGGCTCGAGGCCGGTCTTTGGAAGGTACCTAACCGTTATTGTTTTTTTTTTCTTGAAAAATTCTAAATTCTGCTCTAGGGTTTTCTTTCCAGCTTCTTTTGGCTAAGTTTAATCTTTATTTATGTTGCTTTGTTATCTTCTGTCTGTTTTTTTACTTACGTGAGCTGAGTTTCATCGTTCAGTTTATCAGTTGCTATACGAGAGCTTCTGTTTGGTATGCACATAGTTATAACTCTGCCTTTCATTTTGGTAAAAGTTTTGTTTAATTATTTTGATGCGATTAGCTTTCCACTAAGCTTAGATAGATTAAGTTTGAAGAAATGAATTTTTTGTGTGGAATTTATTTGAAAATTTTGCTCTTATACTTGGTTCAAGAGAATTCAATTCTAAATAAATGACTTGAAAGAAACATTCACTTAGAGATGATGAATTCAATAGACGTATCTTGAAATTTAGTTCAATGTTATGTTTTTGGGTAGATTTGTTGATCATAGGATGAACAATTGAATTTCTCGGCGGGCTTCCGTAGATTGATCATGCAAACAGACATCTTCTCCAATCCCTGCCTTGTTCAGCAACTTTTCAAACATTTCATGTATTACTGTTTGTCATATTTTGTGTGATGTTCAATAAAGAGTGAACAATTGTATTTCTTGGCAACCACCCACGAGGCTTCCGTCGATTAATCGTGCAAACAGATATCTTCTCCGATCCCTGCCTTGTTCATCAACTTTCAAACATTTCATGTATTACTGTTTGTCATATTTTGTGTGATGTTCAATATAAGAGTGAAAAATCTCATTGTGGGTGTATTGTCAATTGCGTATTGAATGAAAAAGTGTGATTTTCTGGGAATTTGAATCCATTGATCCCCATGAATCTTCACCATAAAATTCATTTATAGGCAATGTTTTGTGCTTATTGTATGTTGTGTGTGTGCATGTACTATTTGAAGATATTCAGCTCAAAGGATGAAGGGACAGAAGAAGGTGCGAAAAAGAAATCCAAAGGGGATGAGGCAAAGGAGCTTTTAGCAAAATATGGGGGGGCGTATCTCGCAACATCAATTACACTCTCGTTGATCTCCTTCTCGCTCTGTTACGTGCTAATTAGTGCCGGGGTTGATGTTCAAGCTTTGCTGCTAAAGGTAACTTTCTTATTTGACGTGGTATTGGTTATGCATGGGAGAATAATCACAAGCATTGAATGGTTTGGTTTGATTTTGGTTGTTTAGGTCGGAATCTCAGCGAATGAGACCGGGGAGAAAGTTGGAACCTTTGCTTTGGCGTACGCAGCACACAAGGCTGCATCTCCAATCCGATTTCCTCCAACCGTTGCTCTCACACCCATAGTTGCAAGTTGGATAGGAAAGAAAGTCGACAAGGAAAATTAATTTGATTCTTGAGGATTTGTAATAAGAACAGGTTTTAAATGGCTTCGCCTTCTTTCTACCACATCGAAACCATTGAAAAAAATGCCATCGAGCTTTTTCTTGCAAGTTTTGTAGGTTAAAACTCATGCTAACAAGTCTAGTGTTCTTAAGGCCATTAGGCTTAAACTTTGTTTGCTTACTTCACAGTTTAAAATATATTAGAACATGAAATCTTTTACAAAGTGGTATTAGAAATAAAATTTTGATTGAATTAGTTTGTTCTGTAAAGTTCATAAGTCAATATTTGTAGATGTGGGTAAAATTTATCCAAAAAAAATAAAATAATCTTTAGATCAAAGCTAAAGACTTTACAAAACAATTGTACCATTTATACACTTTTCAGACATTTAAAAAAACATGCCATCTTGGAGACACATCTCATATACTCAATTTGCCTCTCTTTTTCACATAAATGTCTACATGCTCCCATCATTACCTGCAAGTCAGCCTTAACGGATCTCTTTTTCAGATCTAATACAATAAGGCAACAAGAAATGGAATAATGTACAGGGATATGGACTTCTACATACAGACTACTTTTATTTGCTACAAACATTACACGGTTCGCCTATATTACTTTCTAACTGTACAATCAACAGAGAAGGGTATCTTCTTTACCTTCACTTCCCCCATTCAAA